AAAAACTGTGTAGGAATCCTCTAGGCACCGCACACGCGCGCGCTGCGTGCCAGTACACGCTCTAATATCACGGTACCCCTGATTTTGTGAAGAAGGGCCCCGAAATTACGGTGACGCCCCGCGCTTTTGTACGCGACTCTCGACTTCCTGAAATTTGATTAAATTCGACAGATCTGAAATTGAAATAATTACAGAAACTTGTATCTTTCAGTTTTGCAATTTCAAATCCTTTTTGCACAATATTTTCATTTCATAGTTCACATTAGCATAAAATTAGAGACAGAAGGCTACTTATTTTTTGACTAAAGAAACTAATTAAAATTAATTATAGTTAATTTATTTTATTAAAATAAAATTTGTCAGAAATTCAGCTGTCAGGTAGTGGAACTTTATTTTTATTTCGCAAAATTAACGGCAGAGAGGGTGCAGCTTTATGTCTATTGTATGGGAATGAGGCGCGTGACAATATTCGTCGGCCAGGAAAAGGAGGCGGCGGATTTACGAGCGTACACGCGGCGTGAAAGTATGTGGCAAGTCCATCGCGATTTGTAGGAGCGTCCGGCTTCTCTATGCGCAGCTTCGTAATCGCGCGCGTACGTCAACGCGTAAGCGGGAGCGAAAGAACTCGTAGAATGGCTCGTCTAAGCGTCGAAAAGAGAAGGAATGAGTGAGAGAGGGAGAGGCGGAAAGGCGTAGCAACGAGGAAGGAGTCACGACCGAGATTATTGTAATGCTGAAACAATAGTCCCCAATCTGTATGTACGAGCGTGCCGCGTCGTGCGAAGGAAAGCGTGCCGCGTCGCACGAGCGCGGCGTGCGCGGTGAATCGCGCGTACAGCCGTACGCAAAATCCGCATCTCGCACTACTGCGGTCTATCTAGCGCATTGATCTGTGACTACTGCGCGCGCATCGCGGATATTCAGGGTCCGAATAATCCGTCGTTTTTGATGAATACAAAGGATTGTTAATTGCATAAGTTCAACATAAAATCGAATAAAATTGTACGAAACATCACGTTTTGTATTATAAATTTTACACATAAAGTTAAATAGAATTATATAATAATAGTATAACAAACAGATTCCATCGCTGGATTAGAATAAAAAAGTTTTTGACGTCTCAGCGCTGATTTAATATAATAATCGTAATATACATATATCGTTAAACATTTTACAGTGCAAGAAGAGTTTCAAAAGACCGATTTCTAATCGTCACGGATATATCGCATCGTTCTAGACTTCGCGCGTGATTAGACTGCGGCGGTCGTCGGCAATAAATCTTAGCTTGCGATCAAAATTTTAAGTGGACGGAAGAGATAATCGGGAATTTACCGTATCTCGAATACGAATTTTGACACGAAGCACGGGAGGAGAGAACGCGGCGCGCGCGGAAGCGTGGGAACGGGCGCTCTTAAGCCTTCTCAAAACAAAGCACGAGCTAGCCTACGTGACGGAGGTGAGGGGCACGCGACGCACCTGACTATCGCCCCCGCGCCGCTCCACGTGCTCGCATCCGCCTGCACTCTGCGACTGTAGCGGCTATAGTGTAGCCCCGTTTGTCCCTCCCCCCCCCCTGCACATACCGGCAGCCACCGTCGGTTTATTAAGTCGTTATCCGGGGTCGAGTACGTCCTCACGCGCGCGAGAGAATTTCGCGCGTGTAGCAGCGTCGGCTGAATGGAATTAACGGATGAATCAGATCGGCGCAAAGCCGCGAATGTCCGCGCAATGGACACGTTGCTATCAATCGGGATGGGAAAAATCAGACGTCTGTCATTTTAAATCGCGTAAACATATAAATTATAATACATATGAAATAAATACTAAATTTAAAAAGAAAAAAAAAAATGTTCACAGCAGTTATCAAAATTTAGATAGACCATAATTTCGGCTAAATGTTTTGCTGATTTAAATATTCCGATTGAAGAGAATAAAAAAATATGATACAAGAGAATAAACTATTTGTGTGTGACAATTATAGCGAGTAATTGCTGAATACCAGAATCGCATGACACGTGCCGCGGTTAAATACACGATAACGTTGAATTACGTTGTAAGGCGACGTAAAACGACGTTGAATGGCTCGTGGACCGAGGAGCGACCTTGGCTGATCATACGAGACCGCCTCTATACTCGAGTCACAACGGTCACGATAAATGACACGCTAATTATGCACACGTGCGGAGGACACATTGTAATCGCGGTCTCACAACGCCGTCACGTGCGCAAAACGAACAAGGATCCGACATCTAATCGGTACAGTACATAGCGCGAATAGCTCGCTACACGAATCAAAGGTAAGAGGAAATTAACACTCCTGCTCATTGATGGCTGCGAGTTTCTTCGCGCGGATTTTACATCAAATATATGCTCAAAAGAAAGTACACGAATATGGAATATCAGAAAATTTCTGAATGTCCTTTCAAGTCGATTTAGCACTAAGTGAAGCTATTTATTATTTATCGCATCTTTCTAATTTTCAACTCTCTTCATATATCTTTAAACTATTTTCGTACATCTTGTTAGTTAAGCTTCAAATTAAAATTCTTAATTAAAGTCCATTTTAACAATTAACTGAAGAACGTAGTTGTGTTGTTTATTTGCCTCCAAAGTTTAATTCATAAAAAGTTTTTTCACTTGGAAATTATTGATACCTCGATTTTTTTGCTGAGAAGAAATGGACTCCAAATTAATCAGAAAATTGAAAGGACATTCGTGAATTTGGAGATGATATATACCTGGTATAATATTCGCGACAATTGATTATGAATTAAACAAAAATCTTTTGTTAGTTCTATAATATTTTAACTTCCAAGTCTAACAGCATCTACGTTGCAAAGATGTTATTAAACAACGTGCAATTTCGTTGCCGAACGAGATTACAGCGAAATAATTTCTGTAGACCTCATTTCCGCGAAATAACTCTTCATTAGAGATCCAGCGCCGAATCAATTTGATCAAGTGACAAAGCGCAATCCGTGGGTGGTTTAATGACTCAATTATGACGATTTTGGGATTTCAATTTAATCGCACGAGTTGGTTTAGAGTGCTCGATTCACGGAACCGACGTAAAATTATCATTCCAGACTCGTGCTTTTTCTGGGTCAAAAATAAAGCCGAACAAAAATCGGACGGAACGCATAGAACACATAAAAAAACATTAATGTAGCTACCTGTTCGTAATCCAGCGATGACGGCGGTCTCCTTGAGATCTATCCACACGTGGAAGACGGGGTCCTTAGCCTTACGTGTTCGCCGGCGTTGTATTGGTTATATAACGCGCATCTCCACACATACCAATCGCCTCGCATGAATGAATACATTCATAAAGACGGTCCGCGGCTTGGCGTGCATGTCACATGTATATACATATGTGAGGCTGCAATCTCAATAAGAAAATATGTCTATTATGTTGTTACAATAACGATATCAATTCATTGACCGTCGTGGCACTGAAGCGGAGCCCATTGTCTCCAAACG